AGACTAGAATAACCAGCTTAGAGAAGAACATAAACGACTTGATGGAGCTGAAAAACACAGCATGAGAACTTCATGAGGCATACACAAGTTTCAATGGCCAAATTGATCAAGCAGAAGAAAGGATATCAGAGACTGAAGATCAACTCAATGAAATAAAATGAGAAGGCAAGACTAGAGAAAAAAAGGAAATGAACAAAGCCTCCAAGAACTATGGGATTATATAAAAAGACCTAATCTACCCTTGGTCAGCGTACCTGAATGTGACAGGGAGAATAAATCCAAGTTGGAAAACACTCTCTAGGATATTATCCAGGAGAACTTCCCCAACCTAACAAGGCAGGCCAACATTCAAATCCAGGAAATACAGAGAACACCACAAAGATACTACTCAAGAAGCGCAACCCCAGGCACAAAATCGTCAGATTCACCAGGGTTGAAATGAAGGAAAAAATGCTAAGGGCAGCCAGAGAGAAAGGTCGAGTCACCCACAAGGAAAGACCATCAGACTCACAGCAGATCTCTCAGCAGAAACCCTACAAGCCAGAAGGGAGTCGGCGTTAAAGAAAAGAACTTTCAAACCAGAATTTCATATCTGGCCAAACTAAGCTTCCTAAGTGAAGGAGAAATAAAATCCTTTATGAACAAGCAATTGCTGAGAGATTTTGTTGCTACAAGACCTGCCTTACATGAGCTCCTGAAGGAAGTACTAAACATGCAAAGGAACAACCAGCACTAGCCACTGCAAAAACGTACCAAATGGTAAAGATCAATGACACAATGAAGAAACTGCGTCAACTAACGGGCAAAATAACCAGCCAGTAACAAAATGGCAGGATCAAATTCACACATAACAATATTAACATTAAATATAAATGGCCCACATACCCCAATCAAAAGACACACACTGGCAAACTGGATAAAAAGTCAAGAACCATCGGTGTGCTGTATTCAGGAGACCCATCTCATGTGCAAAGACACATACAGACTCAAAGGGATGGAAGAAGATTTACCAAGCAAATAGAGAGAGGAAAAAAAAAGCAGGGGTTGCAATCCTAGGCTCTGATAAAATGGACTTCAAACCAACAAAGATCAAAAGAGACAAGGGTATTATGTAATGGTAAAAAAAAAAAAAAAAAAAAGCAATGCAACAAGAAGAGCTAACTATCCTAAATATATATGCACCCAATACAGGAGCACCCAGATACATAAAGCAATTTCTTAACGACCTACAAAGAGACTTAAACTCCCACACAATAGTAGTGGGAGACTTCAACACTCCTTTGTCAATATTGGACAGATCAACGAGACAGAAATTCGACATGGATATCCAGGACTTGAACGCACATGAGCTGAACCAAGTGGACCTAAGAGACATGTACAGAACTCTCCACCCCAAATCCACAGAATATACGTTTTTCTCAGCACCACATTGCACTTTTACTGTAAAATTGACCACATAATTGGAAATAAATCACTCCTCAGCAAATGCAAAAGAATGGAAATCATAACAATCCACACTGCAATCAAATTAGAACTTAGGATTAAGAAACTTACTCAAAACCGCATAACTATATGGAAACTGAACAACTGGCTCCAAAATGCTGACTGAATAAACAATGAAATGAAGACAGAAATAAAGATGTTCTTCAAAACCAAGAAGAACAAAGACGCAATGTACCAGATTCTTTGGGACACATTTAAAGCAAGGTCTAGAGGGAAATTTATAGCAATAAATGCCCATATGAGAAGCAAGGAAAGATCTAAAATTGACACCCTATCATCAAAATTGAAAGAGTTAGAGGAGCAAAATCAAAAAAATTCAAATGCTAGTAGAAGACAAGAAATAACTAAGATCAGAGCAGAACTGAAAAAGACAGATACACAAAAAACCCTTAAAAAAAAAAATCAATAAATCCAGGAGCTGGTTCTTTGAACAAAATAGACCACTAGCCAGACTAATAACAAAGAAAAGAGAGAAGAATCGAATAGATGATGTAATAAAAAATTATAAAGGGGATATCACCACTGAAGCAACAGAAACACAAACCACTGTCAGCGATTACTACAAACAACTCTATGCACATAAACCAGCAAATCCAGATGAAATAGATAAATTCCTGGACAACTACACCCTCCCAAGACTAAACCAGGAAGAAACTGAATCCCTGAATAGTCCAATAACAAGGTCTGAAGTTGAGGCAGCAATTGATAGCCTACCAACCAAAAACAGTCCAGGTCCAGACAAGTTTACAGCTGAATTCTACCAGACATAAAAAGACGTACAAATTCTACCAGAAGTACATTGTGAGTCTGATGGGTTTCCCTTTGTGGTACCATTCCTTCTGAAACTATTCCAAACAATACAAAAAAAAGGGAATCCTCCCTAACTCATTTTATGAGACCAACATCATCCTAATACCAAAACCAGGCAGAGACTCAACTAAAAAAGAAAACTTCAGGCGAATATCCATGATGAACATTGATGCAAAAATCTTCAATAAAATACTGGCAAACTGAATGCAACAGCACAATCAAAAAGCTTATCCATCATAATCAAGTAGGCTTCATCCCAGGGATGAAAGGCTGGTTCAACATAGCAAATCTATAAACGTAATCCACCATATAAACAGAACCAAAGACAACCACATGATCATCTCAATAGATTCAGAGAAAGTCTTCCACAAAGTTCAACAGCTCTTTATGCTAAAACCTCTCAATAAACTAGGTATTGATGGAAGGTATCTCAAAATAATAAAAGCTATTTATGACAAGCCCACAGCCAATATCATACTTAAGGCAAAAACTGTAAGCATTCCCTTTGAAAACAGGCACTAGACAAAGATGCCCTCTCTCACCATTTCTATTCAATATAGTATTGGAAGTTCTAGCCAGAGTACTCAGGCAAGAAAAAGAAATAAAGGGTATTCAATTAGGGAAAGAGGAAATCAAATTGTCTCTATTTGCAGATGACATGATTGTATATTTAGAAGACCCCATTGTCTCAGTCCAAAATCTCCTTAAGCTGATAAACAACTTCAGCAAAGTCTGAGGATACAAAATCAATATGCAGAAATCACAAGCATTTCTATACACTGACAAGACAGAGAACCAAATCATGAGCACACTCCCATTCACAATTGCTACCAAGATAATAAAATACCTAGGAATACAACTAACAAAGGATGTGCAAGACAACAAACCACTGCTCAAGGAAATGAGAGGAAACAAAAATGGATGGAAAAACATTCCCTGCTCATAGTTAGGAAGAATCAATATCGTGAAAATGACCATACTGCCCAAAGTAATTAATAAATTCAACACTATCCCCATAAAGCTACAATTGACCTTCACAGAACTGGAAAAAAACACACTTTAAACTTCATATGGAACCAAAAGAGAGCCTGCATAGCCAAGACAATCCTAAGCAAAAAGAACAAAGCTGGAGGTATCATGCTACTTGATTTCAAACTACACTACAAGGCTACTGTAATCAAAACAGCATGGTCCTGGTAACAAAACAGAGATACAGACCAATGGAACAGAACAGAGGCCTCAGAAGTAACACCACACATCTGCAACCATCTGATCTTTGACGAACCTGACAAAAACAAGCAATGGGGAAAAGGATTCCCTGTTTAATAAATGGTGTTGGAAAAACTGGCTAACCATGTGCAGAAAGTTGAATCTGGACCCCTTCCTTACACCTTATACAAAAAGTAACTCCAGGTGGATTAAAGATTTAAACCTAAGAACTAACACCATAAAAACCCTAGAAGAAAACCTAGGCAAAACCATTCAGGATATTGGCATAGGCAAGGACTTCATGACTAAAATACCAAAAGCAATGGCAACAAAAGCCAAAATAGACAAATATAGGATTTAATTAAACTTAAGAGTTTCTGCACAGCCAAAGCAACAATCATTAGAGTGAACCAGCAACCAACAGAATGGAAAAAAATTTTTGCAATGTACCTGACAAAGGGCTAATATCCAGAATCTACAAAGAACTAAAGCAGATTTATTTCAAAGAGAAAAAAAAAACCCATTCTAAAGTGGACAAAGGATATGAACAGACACTTTTCAAAAGAAGACATTTATGCACCAACAAACATATGAAAAAATGCTCATCATCACTGGTCATTAGAAAAATGCAAATCAAAACCACACTGAGATACTATTTCATCTCATGCCAGTTAGAATGGCAATCATTAAAAAATCAGGAGACAACAGATGATGGAGAGGATGTGAAGAAATAGGAACACTTTTACACTCTTGGTGGGAGTGTAAATCAGTTCAACCATTGTGGAAGACAGTATGGCAACTCCTCAAGGATCTAGAAATAGAAATTCCATCTGACCCAGCAATTCCATTACTGAGTATATATCCAGAAGATTATAAATCATTGTTATAAAGACACATGCACACGTATATTCACTGTTTACAATAGCAAAGACTTGGAACCAACCCAAATGCCCATCAATGATAGCCTGGACAAAGAAAATGTGGCACATATACACCATGGAATACTATGCAGCCATAAAAAACGATAAATTTGTGTCCTTTGTAGGGAGGACATGGATGAATCTCGAAACCATCATTCTCAGCCAACTGACACGAACAGAAAACCAAACAATGCATGTTCTCACTCATAGGCAGGTGTTGAACAACAAGAACACATGGACACAGGGAGGGGAGCTAGGGGAGGAACAGCAGCGGGTGGGGAGGTTGGGGAGGGATAACATGAGGAGAAATGCCAGATTTAGGTGACAGGGATGGAGGCAGCAAACTACCTTGCCAAGTATGCACCCAAGCAACAATCCTGCATCATCTGCACATGTACCCCAGAACCTAAAGTACAAACAAAAAAATTAAAATAAAAAAACATAAAAGAATAACAAAGCAGTCTAGTCCCATGGAGAGATAGGAAGGATCCTCAAATGTGGAAGACCCAAACCTAGACAGGACTGTGGCTATATAACAAACACTAGCGTCAAAAAACACAAGCTTGAGAATGAACTTAATATAGTAACAATGCAGTGATTACAAATTACTCAGTATTTCCTAAAGACCATGCTTACACAAGCCCTGTGGAAGACTCCAAGCAGTAGTAAAGGCAGCTGATGATTTCCAGCCAGTAACTTTCAGGGGAACCACATATCTTCAATGTCTTCACAAAAATGTATCTGAAGCACTTAAACACCAAGTCTACTCAAATACGCTTCCCAAGCAGCTTTTCTGTACATCTCCGCTGCTTCCAGACGATTAGCTGCGGAGATTATGCCACGGCCTACGATGATGATATCAGAACCTCGTTTGCCAATAACTTCTTGTGGGTTATTGTACTGTTGGCCAAGGTTATCTCCTACAAGAAACACAAAAACTATTATTTAATAAAAATCAGAAAATCTGTCACATGACTTCTCTGAAAAGGATCCAACCAACTTTAAATAAAAATATGCTCCTAGGTCGGGCACAGTGGCTCATGCCTGTAATCCTGAGCACTTTGAGAGGCTGAGGCAGGCAGATCACCTGAGGTCAGGAGTTCAAGACCAGCCTGACCAACAAGGCGAAACTCTATCTCTACTAAGAATACAAAAATTAGCCAGGTATGATGGTACGTGCCTGTAATCCCAACTACTCAGGAAGCTGAGGCAGGAGAATTGCTTGAACCTGGGAGGTGGAGCCTCCAGTGAGCCGGAGATTCCGCCATTGGACTCCAGTCTGGGTGACAGAGCAAGATGCCCTCTCCAGAAAAAAAACTTAAAAAAACTGCTTCTATTTTCATTCCCCTTTTGTACAGCAAGTAGGTAAAAACAGAAGCTAAAGAGACTCACTGGGTAGGCCAGAGACCTCAAATGGAGAAAGATGCTCACCACCATCTCCTTTTCAATGGTAAAGTTTATTTTTATTTATTTATTGTATTTATTTTTTTGAGATAGAGTCTTGCTCTGTCACCCAGGCTGGAGTGCAGTGGCACAATCTTGGCTCACTGCAACCTCTGCCTCCCGAGTTCAAGCAATTCTCCTGGCTCAGCCTCCCGAGTAGCTGGGATTACAAGCACACACAGCATGCCCAGCTAATTTTTGTGTTTTTAGTAGAGATGGAGTTTCACCATGTTGGCCAAGCTGGTCTCGAACTCCTGACCTCAAGTGACCTGCCCACCTCAGCCTCCCTAAGTGCTGGGATTACGGGCATGAGCCACTGCACCTGGCCTTATTTATTATTTTTTTCAAGTAATTTTTTTCCCCAAAATCATAGATTCAAGTTGCCTTGAATATATACTTCCTCAATGTCAAATTTTAGATCATCTGTAGCTTAACAATATATTTTTTTGTTTGTTTGTTTTGAGACGGAGTTTCGCTCTTGTTGCCCAGGCTGGAGTGCAATGGCGCCATCTCGGCTCACCGCAACCTCCGCCTCCTGGGTTCAGGCAATTCTCCTGCCTCAGCCTCCCGAGTAGCTGGGACTACAGGCATGCACCACCATGCCCAGCTAATTTTTTGTATTTTTAGTAGAGACGGGGTTTCACCATGTTGACCAGGATGGTCTCGATCTCTTGACCTCGTGATCCACCCGCCTCGGCCTCCCAAAGTGCTGGGATTACAGGCTTAAGCCACCGCGCCTGGCCCAACAATATATTTAAAAAATGAAGTAAAATTCTTATGTTGCCAACAAAGTTTCAATATATAAAAAATACAAAAAAGATTGGCCTCACAATGTAAGAAAAGTTTAGCATACATCTCAGAATCACCACAATGCACTGTTGAGCACGTCTAACCTGACCACTACCATATACAAGAACCTTTCTGTCACAGCCCCATCAAGTGGTCACCAACTATGCATCAATCTTAACCCTTGAATTTTGCTTTTTTATTTTATTAAATTCTGCTGTTCTAGAAGCACTGTATTAAATGGCTTATTATCTTCCAAATCCAAGCTACTTTAAGTATTCTTAAAAGCCTAAATCCTAACTATAGTATCTAGTCTAAGAATTATGAGGGCTTACAGATAAGGGCTTACAAGTACAGAATATTTACTCTGTGCCAAGACAGTGTGTTAAATACCCTATATGTTCTCATTACACCCTCTTGATTACCTTATGAGGTCAATACTGTTATCATCCCCATTTTACAGATTAAGAAAATGAGACTACAAGAAGTAAACTGACTTGTCCAAAGATACACAGTTTCCAATGGGGTGATTCATTATTGTTCTAATCTAAGAAGGCTTCTCTTAAGCAAATGTATAAAAACATGCAAAGTATTTTGCCTGCAGTGGGCAAAGAAGCATTTTTGGAAGAGCCATGACCAGTGAAGAGATTTAGATTTACCTCTTGCTTCCAACTGAACTCCTGGAGTCAAGTGAAGAAATTCTGGTTTCATGCTTACTCGGGAACCAGAAATAAAACCAACAACAAATTCAGAGTGCTCCTCGGCCATTCTAACCTAAACGGAATGTAACCGGATATATTACAAGAAAACAGTTAATCACACAGAGTAAAAGTAAAAATATGCTCTATTTTTTTTTAAACTTAAAAAAAAATAGACATAGGGTCTCCCTATATCACCCAGGCTGGTCTTGAACCCCTGGGCTCAAGGGATCCTCCCAAGTTGGCCTCCCAAAGTGCTGGGGTTACAGGTGTGAGTCACTGTGTCCAGCTTATGCTCTATTATCCAGTTAGAAACTTTGCTGTATTACAGACACCTTTTCTCATTTCATATATATAAACTCACTATATCTGAAACAGGTCATCTTAGATTGAAACCGTTATGAAACACATTTGCTTCATTAAAACTCTGAGATGACCCTTTCCCATCCTTTCCCATAATAAACCATACTTAAAACAAAAATCCTATACCATATGCATCTAAAGTCAACATGCTGCATAATTACTTCTTTCTAATAATGCTTGGTGACTCACCTACTTCCAGAATGGATCTGAGGTGAGTACTCTAGAATACATGATGATGGTATGAAACCACATTCAAGGCTGACTGACTACACAGACAGGGCACTTCATATCCAAAGGCTGCTGTCATGTAAAGAAAAGATACGCTTTCAAGAGCTTAAGAAATCTCACCTCTACCACTTTCCCTCTTCTATAACATCAACTGGTCTCCCCAGTTTCTATGCTATTATCTCACATTCATAAAAGTTCCCTTAGAAGGTCTGCCTGGCTTTCTGATTCGGTACTTCCCCGAGACCTAAGACTCATTTGATATATTCCTGCCATCAAGTACTACTGCCAACAAACAAGTCATGTCTTGTCCTTGAGCCAGACCCAGACTGCCAGAATGCCAAATATTAAAACTGACTCATGGCTCCTGTGCTTGTGAGAGTTGGGAAATCAGACATGTACAGTCAATTCAGGGATGGGGCTAAAATCTGACTGTAGAGCCACAGGAGTTCTATTAAGTCTCCAGATAGTCTTTGAAATAATATGAAAAAAATAGAAATCCGTTACTTCTAGAACTTTCACAAAGGATAAAAAATCATGGGGATTTTCTTGGGGATTTTTTTTGAGATGGGCTTTTACTCTTGCCAGGCTGGGGTACAATGGCATGATCATAGCTCCCTGCAGCCTTCATCTTGCAGCCTCAAGTGCTCCTCCCACCTCAGCTTCCCAAATAGCTGGGACTATAGGCATGTACCATCATGCCTGGTTAATTTGCTTTTTCCTTTTTTTGTAAACTTCTCACTCTGATGTCAAGCTGGTCTCAAACTCATGACCTCAAGCAATCCTCCCACCTTGGCCTCCCAAAATGCTAGGATTACAGGTGTGAACAACTGTGCCCAGCCCCCATACAATTTCTTAAAAAGTAATATTATATTCTAAAATATCTGACAAGAATAAGAGAAAACCACTGCATGTGGGCTGCTGTCATGAGAATGTGCATCTCTGTAGGACTCGGGAGATTCTGAGAAACTACATGTCTGGGAAGCTCTTACCTTTTCTCAACTCAGGGTGAGATGAAGAAAACAATTATCTTAAAGTCCTGGTAGATTTAGTAAGTGTTTGACTAATTATCTGGGTCTCAAAGTTGTTCTTGGAATACAATACAAATTCCTAAAGTGTCCACTACACAATATAAAATGCTATTAACTATTAAGGAATTCTATCCAACTAGCATTAACATACTGTCACACTAACAAGAGTTGATTTTTTTTTTTTTTGGCAGAGGTTCCATAGACGCCAGATTAAGAGAGATTTTCTTGCCCTATAGCATACAGCATAGTAGCCCCTGCCTCCTCTTACCCTGTCCCTCCATCACTTACCGCTGCTCTAGTGTAGTCCCCAGTGGCCAGGGAGCCGGTGGAGCTCATTTCCGCAATGAGCAGGCACCCCCGATGCAAAGGCAGGCCCACTTCCTGAAGGCCTTTCACAACTCCTGAGCCTGGCACCACGTGAGCATTTACTAGATCTGCCCAGGAAGCTATTTTAAAGATACCTCCTAAGAAGAAGGGGGAAAAAGATTTTCAATTTTCAAACAAAAACCTCTAACCTCTTGTCCAATCAACCAACTACGATATAAAATAATCTTCTAGTAACATGTTAATGAGAGAATCACTTTAGGAACTTTAGTGATTATCAGCGGACCCATGGTTCCATCTGTGAAAAATTTATCTGTTATTCAGGTAAGCAGCTGGGTGAGAGATCACAATGAGGAAAATAACTTCCAAGGTCTGCACTTGGCTTATTGGGAACACTAGTAGGACTGTTTTTCCTTGCAGGCTGAAGCTCATGACCACATGTACAGCTCAAGCTATTAGAAAGGGACTCCAGTGAAGACAAACATTTGTTGACGTCAAGAATAACAATAATCTAAAATTCCTCACTGTGGCTCACGTCTGTAATCCCAGTACTTTGGGAGGCTGAGGTAAGTAGATTGTTTGAGCTTAGGAGTTCGACACCGGCCTGGGCATCATGGCAAAACTTCATCTCTACCAAAAACACAAAAAATTAGCCAGGTGTGGTGGCACATGCCTGTAGTCCCAGCTACTTGGGAGGCTGAGGTGGGAGGATCGCTTGAGCCCGGGAGGCGGAGGTTGCAGTGAGCCAAGATTGCACCACTGCACTCCAGCCTGGGTGACAGAGCAAGACCCTGTCTCAAAAAAATAAAAAAATAAAATTCTTGAAGATAAGTTTTCACTCTGCAGGGGTTTCTCAGCAGCTTTACTATCACTTGGTATTTCTATGTGTTCCTTAGGTCTCCTTAGCTATCTAATTTCAATAGGCCAACTATACTCCTTTTAAAAGTGGAAAGTAAAAGGCCTAATTTTTGAAAAACCTCTATGCAGACCTGAAGAGAGTTTGTATAAAACTCTTATACCAGTCAATTAGCTAAATTAAGTTGGGCAATGTGACGATATCTTAAGCATAGGAAGAAGTCACTTAAAGACAAATCTGTTGAAAAGAAATAGCTTCTGAATATGCACACATTAAAGAAAAGTTACCTCAAAGATGCCTACAAAAAATGTTAAATAACATCACCAATATCTGTTACAAGCTTAAGTGAAAAATGCATTAAAATACAGTCCAACCATAGTTGTAAAAACATAGACAGAAATTTACATAGAATAGGCAGTAGAACTAAGTATTTTTTTCAACCAACACATGCACTGTTTTATATAAAGAATGTTTATCAATAGAACTTTTTCTGCTACAAATAAATCTTTTCTTTTCTTTTTTTGAGATGGAGTTTCACTTCTGTTGCGCAGGCTGGAGTACAGTGGCACCATCTTGGCTCACCGCAACCCTGGGTTCAAGCAATTCTCCTGCCTCAGCCTTCCCAGTAGCTAGGATTACCAGCACGCACCACCACGGATGGCTAATTTTGTATTTTCAGTGGAGACGGGGTTTCTCCATGTTGGTCAGGCTGGTCTCGAACTCCTAACCTCAGGTGATCCACCTGCCTTGGCCTCTCAAAGTACTGGAATTATAGGCGTGAGCCACCACATCCAGCCAATCTTACCATTTTATACTTCTTTTTCATTGTGTCCTTTATGTGGAATTTTCATTCAAAACATCATATTCTGCCAGAGACATCTGTCATATTTGCTTGGCCAGACACACAACTTCTGGAGTCAGCATACCCATTTTCTTTAAGAAAACTATCCCTGCCTGGTTCTCACTTCAAAAAGGTCAAATAGGCATGTATGTGCCCATGCAACAATCCTGCAGGATGCAGGATGTGCACATGTACCCCAGAGCCCAAATACAATTTAAAAAAAAAAAAAAAAAAAAAAGAAGGTCAAATAGAGTTAACAGCCTCACAACTGCAGAGCAGATTGTCCAGACTAGCTAATGAAGGTATTCTATATCCCAAGCTAGAGTGATTGGCTTGGGGTGAGCATGCTGAGTATGCCTACCTGAGAAAGAAGTCAACAGAGAAGAAACCAGAGCTGACAGATGGAGAGAAAGCAAGTCATGAAGACATCATTTGAGCTCCTGGATCCAACCATGCTTGACAGCCTGCTCTATGAATGGACTTTCAGTGACATGAGCATTTCCTTTTTTTTCTTCAGCCAGTTTAAGCTGGATTTCTGATTCTTGCAGATTCTTGAATAATACACTTACCTTCATACTGCTTTTTCACTGTGTTTCCTATATCTGCAAATTTTCGGTCTTCAAATATCAAGAACTCATAGCGTTTTGCCAGAGTTATCAACTCCTTCATCACATCCAGAGTAAAATCATTCAAAATATCTACATGAGTCTTGAGCATGCAGATACTGGGTCCTAAAGCATCTGCTAGCTGCAATAGCTCTCTGGCCTCTGAAACATCAGCAGACAGACACAAATTGGTCTCTTTCTTTTGCATGAGCCTGAGAAGCTTCGATGCAACTGGGTGGATCCTGGGCAGCTCTGCACGTGCCCCGAAGCTGAGTTCTTTGGGTGTTTCCTTTACAGAAAAGGGAGAACCATTTTGATTCGCTGCCACAAAGACATTCTCCTTAATAAATCTCTTCACTCTCCCAGCCATCTCAGTATCAATTTTTTTCTGCTGCTCGAGAATCTCCAGCATTTTGGACAATGTACACACTGAGTGGAGGCGAATCCCATGTGCCTGCAACTTGTCCTTGCCTCCCTGCTCTCTGTCCAATAGCACTATGGCATCAGTGACCTTCAAGCCCTCCTTCTGAAGAACCTCAACAGTTTCCAAAACACTAGATCCACTGGTGACAACATCTTCAATTATTAAACAGGTTTCTCCTGGATTAATAGCTCCTTCTACAAGACGCTTAGTTCCTAGAAAAGAAAAAATTCTGCTGATTCTAAATTTAAATAGATATGTATATGTGTATGTGTATACCAAACTTGCCAGTTACACATATAGTATATTTATAGTAAAACAAGTAAATTATTTTACATTATAAACACTGCTAAATGTGTTTTATGATCAAATTTTCAAATACGGAGTTTAAAAAAAATTTTTTTTGGAGTTTTTTTTTTTTTATTTAAAAAAATTTGTTTTATCATAGAGATGAGGTCTCACTATGTTGCCCAGGCTGGTCTCAAACTCCTGAGCTCAAGTGATCCTCCCACCTCAGCCTTCCTAAGTGCTAGGATTACAGGTGTGACCCACCATGTCCAGCCTAAATACGGTTTCTTACAGTAAAATCACCTAGATCAAGGAAAGTTATGAAACACAGAATAATCCAATATCATAAATGAAATAATTCATTTTTCCATCTAAGTATTACAAGTTTACTATTCAAAATCAGCCAAACAATTGGCTTTTTGAAGATATAAATTCAGAAGGAAAAATATTCAGCAATCATTTAAATCCATTACTACAATCTAAAGAATGGTATAATGCAATGTGACTAAATATACACATCTCTACCCCAAATCCCACTAGAGACTATTTTTCAGATAATGTACAAAATGTAAATAAATTGGGGCTGTAGACTTTATAGACTCATCAAACCCCTTCCTCTCCTTGAATAATTGCAAGTTTAATTAAATCAGCTTAAGCTACAACACAAGACTGCAAGTACTTACAGTATATTTTAAAATGCATACTTTAATTCTAAAAACATTTTTTAATGTAAAATAATAAAATAGAAACAAGAGTTTTCTTATGGGCAGGGATTCATATAGAAAATTTTTTTTTTAGCTCGGAAAATCTCAGCTGGGGGTAGTGGCTCACACCTGTAATCCCAGCACTTTGGGAGGCTGAGGCAGGAAGACGGTTTGAGACCAGGAGTTCAAGACCAGCCTAGGCAACAGAGTGAGACCTTGTCTCAAAAAAACCCAAAAACAGAAAAATTAACGCTGCCCTTCACAGCAAAAACTCAATTAATATGTTTCTTTTTCTATCATAAAAACTTTTAGAATGCATCTGTAAAAGAAGGATGTGTTAAAAAAAAAAAAAACCAAACACTAATACACCAACATAAACAAAAAAGTCCATTAATTCCTTACTATCATTAAGACTGCTTTTCAGGTTTTATTTATTTGTTTTTTGATAGTACTGCTCTGTCACCCAGGGTGCAGTGCAGTGGCGCATTCATACCTCACTGCAACCTTCAACTCCTGGGCTCAAGCCATCCTCTTGCCTCAGTCTCCTATGTAACTGCGACATTCAGCTAATTTTTTATTCTTTTTTTCAATTTTTGTAGAGACAAGGTCTCACTACGTTGCCAAAGCTGGTCTCAAACTCCTGGCTTCAAGCTATCCTCCTGCCTTGGCCTCCCAAAGTGCTGGGATTACATGTGAGTCACTGCGCCTGGCCGATTTTCAGGTTTGTTTTTTTAAAATAGGGTCTCACTCTGTCCCCAAGGCTGGAGTACAGTGGCGTGATCTCGGCTCACTGCAACCTCCACTTTCCAGGTTCAAGCTAGTCTTCTATCTCAGCCTCCCAAGTAGCTGGGATTACAGGGGCACACCACCACACCCAGCTAATTTTTGTATTTTTAGTAGAGTCGGGGTTTCACCACGTTGGTCAGGCTGCTCTGAAACTCCTGACCTCAAGTGATCCGCCCACCTCCGCCTCCCAAAGTGCTGGGATTACAGGTGTTGAGCCATGGTGCCTGGTGTGATTTTTGGGTTTTAAAGCAAGCCACCTGATAATCTATTGCCATGAACCCACAAAAGCATCTCTCTAGGTATTTACACTGTTTTATAAGAATAATTTTATCCATGCATTTCTTTTTTATGAAGTTTAAATACAAACCTACTGGGAAAATATGTGTTGTTACATTTTGCTGATGAGGGAAGAACTGGTGGGAAAAAAAAAGTTGGGGTTTCATAGATATAGTACCAGAAGAAGCACCTTTTATCAATCAATACAAAGCATTTCATCCCTAGACTCTAAAAAAAGGAAGGTGACTTATAGTAACAGGCACAATCCACCGGCAATAACAACTTAAAGGACTCAAGATGACTCTGGAAAAACATTAGTGCACAGAGGAGAAAAAAATTCTAATAGTATTATGTTACAGATTAATTAACTTAATGCTTATGTTACTTTTATTTTACCATAATCCTTTGTTTCTTTCCTTCTAATAAGCATTGGAATTTCATTGGTTGAACAAATAACTGCAGCCAGTGGCAACGCGGTATAAGGTACTCCACACACTGTGTCAAAACTGATCCCTGCATTTTGGGCCGTTTGGAATAAAATATCTGCAACCTGTAAGAAATGGACACACAAACTATGTTTTAACGATTTTAAATGGTGTATAAACATATGACAACATAACATTAAAGACAGTAATAACCTAGTGGGGTAAGTCTCAAACCTGATTGGAGAAAAAACCAAATGCCTATTTATTACCCTCTCTATAAACCCAATACACAAATATAAATCTAAAAACGTAAGAATGAACCTATTCAGCCAGATTTAGAATCTGTTCCAAAGGCAATCTGAGATGTGTTGGGAAAGCTCATGATGTTGACCCCAAAGACTAAGGATGGTCCCCTAACTTCCTGGTTTCCCTCAGGAACCCATTATGCTGAGTATCTAAACCTATCATCTTTTAGTTATATGTCCTGAAAGAAGTCTTCGATTAAGAAATTTCAGGAACTAGACATGGTGACCGAAGGGGATATGGAGCTGGAGTTATAGAGACTGAGACCAGTGGCCCAGAGCGACCTCCCGAGAAGCCACGGAAACATGACAGTGGTGCGGTAGACTTGGAGCTCGTCACCGACTATGCAGAGGAGAAGGGAATCCAGAGTTCCAACCTGGAGATGGCCATGTCTGTGATCGGAGACAGAAAGTCCCGGGAGCAAAAAGCCAAACAGGAGCATGAGAAAGAACTGGCAAAGGCACTGTCAGGAAGGAAGATCTGGAGCTGATAAGGACCGAGATGGAGCTATCTCAAGCAGCAACAGAAGGCAGCTTGGGGAACACATGGGCAATGTGTTAGAGGTGCTTATTGCCCCAACCAACTGATGCGTGCTTTCTCAGATATACCTACTGGATTAATTTATGACAATAAATTTTTTTGGTCTTTTTTTGGAAAAAAAAAAAAAAATTCATAAATATGGACCCTATTGTGTGAATTACTATTTTATAATCTCTCCTTTTCCACATAAATCATCAAAGTTTAATGTTAGAATACACATTCCCATGCAAAAGCACCTCATTTTTAAAAAAGAAAGGCAAACAATCACTGAGTTGCTTTGTGAACTAGATCGCAGCTTGACTCCAGTACTTCTAAAGAGTAACAAAAACTCTATGAATATTTTAAGTTGCAGAGAATGTAATTTCTAGTACAAAAAGTATTAACATGTTATCTCAGACCTGTTTTATCACTTTTTTTTTTTTTGAGACAGAGTCTTGCTCCATCGCCAAGTGCAGTGGTGTGATCTCGGCTTACTGTAACTTTTGCCTCCTGGGTTCAAGCAATTCTCCTGCCTCAGCCTCCCGAGTAGCTGGGTCTACACGTGTGCACCACCACGTCCAGCTAATTTTTGTATTTTTGGTTGGAATGCAAATGCTACAGTGACTGGATACCCACCATCTCCATTAAAAAACAAAACAAAACAAAACATGAAAGTGCTGGACTATGAAAAGTTTAAAACTTTTGACATCTTTTTCCAACCCATATTTTCACTCCACTGTGCACAGAATTTTACTCTAAATATGTAATTATACTTGAAAAGCTTTTCCTGATCCCTCTGTCACACTTGTCTATATTTATGTAAAATGAAAATTAAAATGGTAATTAAAAAATTTCCCATGACTGTAAGTCTCTAAGTGTCAAGAATTCTTCTGTAGCTCTCTCAGGTCCTTACTTCCAAGATGACAAAGAATTGTGCCAAAAAGGGCTGTGGCCACTAGTGGCACATTCTGCGTCCCACGCATGACCAAGGAAAAGGCTATTAAGAAGCCTGTCATGCAAAACATAGTAGAGGCCACGGCAGTCAGGGACATTTCTGCAGTGTGCATCTTTGCCTCCTATGTTTTTCCCAAGCTGTATGTGAAGCTACATTACAGTGTGAGTTGTGCCATTCACAGCAAGGTAGTCAGCAATCCATCTAAATCCCACAGGGACCAAACACCCCACCCTGATTCAAACCTGTGGGTGCTGCCTCATGACCCTCACCAAAGACCATGTAAGCAACTGAATCCTTAAGGACTGAAGAGAAACTATTCTCTGGAGGAAAATAAAATGGAAATTGTACTTTTTAAAAAAGAGAATTATCCTGTATATCATTACAATTATTATAAGCATATGATTAATTAAAACATGATTTGCAAATTTTGACAGAGGAGAAAAAACAGATTTGGAAAATGCATTTCTTAGTGGGTTAATGCTATCTTTCCTCTCCAATTACTTTATGCACACTAATGTACGTATATATAGCACTGTAGTCAAATATCATTTATCACAAGGAAGTTAGAGTTTAGCATCAATTCTATTGCTTTTTGGGGTGTGTCGAGAAATCCTATTTGCATTAATAAGATGTGTAAAGGAATTCTGTCATATGCAAGTCTATATTTTGAACTCCTCCCCAATTTATCTCCAAAATGCACACATACACACAGACATACACACACACACACCCCCCCATGATCTGGTTATCAAAAAAACTTTCTCTGTCATTTAAAATAAATAAATCAATTTTTCACTAGAAAATCCTTAGTAATTCTCCACACTGCTGAGAAATATAGCAAGAATCTGGATGGTGAGAAATAGTCCAAAGTACTGCAACCTTAAATAGTCTGACCTACCTTCAATATTTTTATAATAACCACACAAAGTGGTGCCCAGTGAACATAAACCCTTAAGTGG